TGTGCTGTTGGCACAAGTCGCTCCCCATTCTTGGTGGGGGATGAGAGCAGCTGGGCTATTCCCACCCTGTGACTCTGGCTCAGAGGGGGCCCTGGGTTCTGCCGGAAGGGCTGCTCCTGATGCCAGTATTTGGAGGGAGGGTCATTGCAAGGTGCTCATTAGAAAAGGGAACTCAGGATCTCTAAGCTCTTACAAGGTTCCTGGAACTTCCCTCTTTGAGACTTGGTCTCCTGATCTCTACAGCAGGGGTGGTATTATTCTCTTCTCAGGGTTCTTGGGGACTTAGAACAAGACATTCACTCATTCCTTGTTAATTCATTCAACAATACTCCTGGGCTTGTTCTGTGCCAGATGGTGCCAGGTGTTGGGGCCCCGCAGTGACCAGCACAGACGTGGGCCTGCCCATGGCAGGTATGCAGGGCAGATGTTAAACCAACAGAGCACCACGAAGGGTCAGAAGAGGGTCTGGGCTGGGGTGGGACGTTGCGCAGCCTGGGAGGAGGGTTCCAGGAAGAGTCTAGGCAGTTTTAGGAGCCCAGCACTGCTGGGCTTGGAGGCTGGGACAAGAACTTTTCACTTTAAGAGTAACAGAAGTAGAGCATAATTCAAATTTACATTTGAAAACCTCTCTCTGTTACCTTACCTGCAAAGGTAACAGCAGAGGGAAGGAGAATGGATTTGAGGACCCAGTCAGGGGCCAGTGGAGACCTGGGCTGGCAGGAGAGCTGAAGGAGGGGTGCCACCCTCTAGTGTTCCAGGCCTGGCAGAGTATGGAAGGCGCTGGCACTGGTGTGGAGCTCTGGGGAATGAGGAAGTGCCACACCCTGGGAGGGGCCACCAATACTCCAGGTGCTTATGAATATTATCTCCCCACCCTGGAAAGTTACCAAGAACATGTGAGTGGGTGGGAAAAGGACCCAATAAGCTCTGGGCAGGGGTCCAGAGAAGCGAAGCAGGGTTCTTCTCCCAGCCGCTCCTAAGCTTGCTTCATATTTAAGGCAGCTCACTTGCCTCCCTGTGCCTTAGTTTCCCTATCTGGCATCTACAGGACTAGCATAGAGCTGATGCTCAAAAAAAGGGCCGAGTTCAAGTCCAGACACATTTCATCTTGGAAAGAGCCCAGGCTTTGTGATCAGACACACTGGGTCGCAAATCCCAGCTCTGCCCTACATGAGGCTGTGGGGTCTGGGCCAGCTCTTTTGTTTCTGGGAGTCTTCTGCTGGTTGGGGACCACACTTTGAGAACCACTGATCTAGGATAACGTACCTATGAGAGGGCAGCCTCTGCTCTTCTTACTAGAGTTCCCCAACCTATGCTGGCAGAGAGCAAGTCCTTGGTGGATGCTTTTGAATGAATGGATTCTGAATGTTTTGCTGTGGATGGGGGATGGGGGGTGAGGGTGGGCCTAGGCTTGGAGGTGGTAGCAGGAAGTGGGACAGGAAGGTGGGCCAGGGGCAATCATGCAGGCCCTCAAATGCCAGGCCAGGGATCTGGGACTTGTAGGAGGCTGAATAATGGCTCCCAAATACAAGCATGTTTTACCAGTTGAGAATGTTACCTTACGTGCAAAGGAACTTTGCAGATGTGATTAAGATCTTTGAGATGAGGAGAGTATCATGGATTATCCAGATGGGTCCTCATTGTCACTACAAGTGGTCTTTATAAGAGGGAGGGAAAGGGAGGTCTGGCTCCAGGAGAGAAGGCAATGATCAGGGAAGCAAGAGGCCAGAATGACATGAGAAAGGGGCTATGTGCTAAAGAATGCAGATGGCAATGACAAGTGGGAAAAAGAAAGGGATACCCCTTGGTATCCCAGAAGGAACCTGTCCTGCCAATACCTCGATTTCAGATATCTGACTTCCTAAGCTGCAATAGAATGCATGTGTGTTGTCTTCAGCCACTAAACTGGTGGTCATTTGTTCAGCCATGGGAGACTGACACAGGGTTATCCATGTCCAGCAGGTGATGAGAAACCATGGCAGTCAGTGATCAGGGGTGAGATTCGTGTTCTAGAGAGTTCACTATGGGTGGCCAGCTCAGCACTCTCTGCCCTGGCCAGCCGTGCCCCCCCACCCCAGCCCAGTCAGACCAGGATGGCTCCGTTCCTTGGAATTCTTGTCTTAGGCTCACACTACAACATGGGTAGTGATAAGGGCTCTGGGTCAGCACTGGGTCTCATCTCCAGATGGAGGGCAAGAAGGACATTCTATCTATCTGTCAGCAGGGAAGCTAGAAGCCCACCTTATTAAGGGCTGTGCCTGGCTTTCTCCAACCTCCATGCCCTCTGTCCCCAGGGCAAGGCCCTCTGACTAGCTTTTCCATTCTCTGGAGGATGGAGCCAGGCCATGAAACTGTGATCTCCAGGAGCTCTGGCCCCAACTCCATGGCTACTGTGTGTGACCCAGGCAGGCCTTGGCTTCTTCACAGCCTCCCACCTCAGGTGCCCACCAGGGTTAGATGAGAAAGGGGACACTCATACCTCACAGTATGTCCAGCATCCAAAGGACAGCAATGACGGAAGCTGCTCCTTATGCTGTTGCTTAGGGGGCAGCATTGGCTGACTTGCTAGCTTGTGCCACTATTCCAGGCAATAACTGATTTGGCTTCTAGGACCCTCCATTTTCCCATCTATAGAGTGGAGATCAAACACAAACCGCTACTTCACAGGGTTACGCTGAGAACGAAATGAGGTTCCTGGTCTCAAGGGTCCAGCCCTGCCCTGGATAAATGGGTCTTCCTCATTTCATTTAAAGGCTCAGCTCAGAAACCTGCCTCATGGAATAGGCTCCAGGGCCATGTATCAGCTGCATCTGGATGCTGGGGGCACATGCTGGTCTGAACAGCTGTGCTGGGGGCACATGCTGGTCTAAACCATTAAGGTCTACTCCTTAACTAGACCACAAGCAAGGACAGGTGCCAAGAGGGTGGAGTCAGGTGAGGCTGCACGATCTCCTCTCATGCCCTCAGCATTTGGCCCAGGGGTGGAAGCGGATGCCCCACAGAATGATTGGTGCCTAGAAACAATGTCAGGCATGTACAGTGGGCAAGTAGATGGTGCTGAATGAATGTTAGCTAT